TTCAAAGGCCTGTTTCCCTTGTCTCCATAACTGTTGTGGGTATTGACGGCCAGGTTTCTAAACATCTTAAAACTCCCCAACTCTGGTGCCAACTTGGACAACATTCTTTTATGCACTCCTTTTCAGTTATCCCCACCTGCCCAGTTCCCTTATTAGGCCAAGACATTTTAACTAAATTATCTGCTTCCCTGACTATTCCTAGGCCACAGCCACACCTCATTGCCTCTTTTTCCCCCAGTTCAAAGCCTCCTTCACATCCTCCCCTTGTATCTCCCCACCTTAACCCACAAGCATAGGATACCTCTACTCCCTCCTTGGCGACTGATCATGCACCCCTTACCATCTCATTAAAACTTAATCACCCTTACCCCACTCAATGCCAATATCCCATCCCACAGCACGCTTTAAAAGGATTAAAGCCTATTACACTCACCTGTTAGAGCATGGGCTTTTAAACCCTGTAGACTCCCCTTACAATTCCCCCATTTTACCTGTCCTAAAACCAGATAAGGCTTACAGGTTAGTTCAGGATCTGCGCCTTATCAACCAAGTTATTTTGCCTATCCACCCCATGGTGCCAAACCCATATACTCTCCTATCCTCAATACCTCACTCTATAACCCATTATTCTGTCCTAGATCTCAAACATACTTTCTTTACTATTCCTTTGCACACCCTTCATCCCAGCCTCTCTTCGCTTTCACTTGGACTGACCCTGACACCCATCAGGCTCAGCAAATTACCTGGGCTGTACTGCCGCAAGCCTTCACGGACAGCCCCCATTACTTCAGTCAAGCCCAAATTTCTTCTTCATCTGTTACCTATCTCGGCATAATTCTCACAAAAACACACATGCTCTCCCTGCTGATCATGTCTGGCTAATCTTTCAAATCCCAATCCCTTTTACAAAACAACTCCTTTCCTTCCTAGGCATGGTTAGTGCAGTCAGAATTCTTACACAAGAGCCAGGACCCCCTCCTGTAGCCTTTTTATCCAAACAACTTGACTTGACTTTTTCAGCCTACTAGCCCTCATGTCTGCGTGCGGCAGCCGCCACCACCCTATTACTTTTAGAGGCCCTCAAAATCACAAACTAGGCTCAACTCACTCTCTACAGTTCTCATAACTTCCAAAATCTATTTTCTTCCTCCCACCTGACGCATATACTTTCTGCACCCCAGCTCCTTCAGTTATACCCACTCTTTGTTGAGTCTCCCACAATTACCATTGTTCCTGGCCCGGACTTCAATCCAGCCTCCCACATTATTCTGGATACCACACCTGACCCTCATGACTACATCTCTCTGATCCACCTGACATTCACCCCATTTCCCCATATTTCCTTCTTCCCTGTTCCTCGCCCTGATCACATTTGGTTTATTGATGGCAGTTCCATCCAGCTTAATTGCCCCTCACCAGAAAAGGCAGGCTATGCAATAGTATCTTCCACATCTATCATTGAGGCTACTGCTCTGCCACCCTCCACTACCTCTTAGCAAGCTGAACTAGTTGCCTTAACTCAGGCCCTCACTCTTGCAAAAGGACTACACATCAATGTTTATATTGACTCTAAATATGCCTTCCATATTCTGCACCACCATGCTGTTACATGGGCTGAAAGATATTTCCTCACTATGCAAGGGTCCTCCATCATTAATGCCTCTTTAATAAAAACTCTGCTCAAGGCCACTTTACTTCCAAAAGAAGCTGGAGTCATTCACTGCAAGGGCCATCAAAAGGCATCAGATCCCATTGCTCTAGGCAATGCTTATACTGATAAGGTGGCTAGACAAGCCGCTAGCATTCCAACTTCTGTCCCTCAGGACCAGTTTTTCTCCTTCACATCGGTCACTCCCACGCTGAAACTTCCACCTATCAATCTCTTCCCACACAAAGTAAATAGTTCTTAGACCAAGGAAAATATCTCCTTTCAGCCTCACAGGTCCATTCTATTCTGTCATCATTTCATAACCTCTTCCATGTAGGTTACAAGTCACTAGCCCGTCTCTTAGAAACTCTCATTTCCTTTTCATCGTGGAAATCTGTCCTCAAGGAAATCACTTCTCAGTGTTCATCTGCTATTCTACTACTCCTCAGGAATTTCAAACGCCCCCTCCCTTCCCTACACATCAAGCTCGAGGTTTTGCCCCCGCTCAGCACTGGCAAATTGACTTTACTCACATGCCTCGAGTCAGGAAACTAAAATACCCTTTGGTCTAGGTAGACACTTTCACTGGATGGGTAGAGGCCTTTCCCACAGGGTCTGAGAAGGCCACCACGGTCATTTCTTCTCTTCTGTCAGACATAATTCCTCAGTTTGGCCTTTCCACCTCTATACAGTCCGATAACAGACCGGTCTTTACTAGTCAAATCACTCAAGCAGTTTCTCAGGCTCTTGGTATTCATTGGCGCCTGGTTTTACCTCAAACTGCCACCCTTAAGTCTCTCTTTAAGTGGTAGAAGATCTTCAGTGACAAAGTACACTCCAGTACTTTCACCCTGATGAAGTCCTATCCTTTACTTTTTTAAAATTTTTATTTAAAAATTTTTTTATTATACTTTAAGTTCTAGGGTACATGTGCACAACGTGCAGGTTTGTTACATATATATACATGTGCCATGTTGATGTGCTGCGCCCATCAACTCGTCAGCACTCATCAACTCGTCATTTACGTCAGGTATAACTATACTTACTCTTATTCTCGTTCCCATTCTTATGCCACCCTCTACCTCTCCCCAGCTGTCTCCACCACACTATCAATCTCAGTCACTGTCTCCTAGCCGTTTACAATCCTTTAACAAACAATTGCTGGCTTTGCATTTCTGTTTCCTCCAAAATCGCCAAGGCCTTGACTTACTCACTACTAAAAAAAAAAAAAAAAAAGGAGAGGGGGACTCTGTGTATTTTTAAATGAAGAATGTTTTTATCTAAATCAATCTGGCCTGGTAATTACACTGAACCCCCTTTGACACTCTGTAATTGAATGTCCTGGGTCCTCCCAATTCTTAGTCCTTTAATACCTGCTTTTTCTCCTTCTCTTATTCAGACCTTGTGTCTTCCGTTTAGTTTTTCAATTCATACAAAACCACATCCAGACCATCACCAATCATTCTATGTGAGAAATGCTCCTTCTAACAACCCCACAATATCTCCTCTTACCACAACATCTTCCTTCAGCTTCATCTCTCCCACCCTAGCTTCCCACGCCGCCCCAATCCTGCTTGAAGCAGCCCTGAGAAACATCGCCCATTCTCTCTCCATACCACTCCCCCAAAATTTTCACCGCCCCAACACTTCAACACTATTTTGTTTTATTTTTGTTATTAATATAAGAAGACAGGAATATCAGGCCTCTGAGCCAAAGCTAAGCCATCATATCCCCTGTGACCTGCACGTACACATCGAGATGACCGGTTCCTGCCTTAATGGATGACATTCCACCACAAAAGAAGTGAAAACGGCCTGTTCCTGCCTTAACTGATGACATTACCTTGTGAAATTCCTTTTCCTGGCTCATAAGCTCCCCCACTGAGCACCTTGTGACTCCCATCGCTGTCTGCCAGAGAACAACCCCCTTTGACTGTAATTTTCCTTTACCTACCCAAATCCTATAAAACGGCCCCACCCCTATCTCCCTTCGCTGACTCTCGGACTCAGCCCGTCTGCACCCAGGTGATTAAAAAGCTTTATTGCTCACACAAAGCCTGTTTGGTGGTCTCTTCACACGGACGCACGTGACATGGAAGATATGAGAGCCACCTGTTCATTTATTTCCCAAGTAAACAGCAAACATGACTTTCATTCAAATTCATGTATTCATTTAAATGAACCCCAAAGCTCTAATTCACTATGTGTAGCTATTTTGCTGTTATTTAGCATTAAATGCATTTGTAGCACTTTATTGCATAGAAAAAGGCATGTATATGGAACTATTCCTGTCCTCAATTTTATAACAAATCAGTGCTGAGTACAATAATTATAGGTCATTAAAGATTAGTAGATATTATACTGAAAAAATATACTTTATTTCCATTGTAAAATGCAGCATATGCACATTTTTCTTTACAGTATTTTTTTCAAAATTGCCATAATTATATTCCAATGATTTAATTTAGAACATTTTAATGTAGCTATATATTGGTAAAAACATCCTTCACAAACAATATACATGTTTGGAGTGATACAGAAATAAAATTTATGTCACTAACAAACAATAGTAACAATTATAAAAATGTCATTCTAATATTTATATACTACTTTTGGTTTATAAAGCACTTAACATACACTTTACTCATTTAATTTTCATAATAATTACCAGATTGCTTATACTGTAGGTAGCTGATTCTCATTTCCCGAATAATGATTATGATTTAGTATATCTGTGTAGACCAATAATTTGAATTTTACATACTCATCTGTAGGTAATTTTAAGGGAATATTGCTACTCAAGGGTGCTGGCTCACTCAGAACAGCAGTGTGGGCATCACCTGGGAGCTTGTAAGAAATGCAGAAACTTGGGCCTCAACTCAGAACTACTGAACAGGAATTTGCGTTTTATTAAGATTCCTCAGGGGATTCAAATATACACTAAAGCTTGAGGGGCATCCCTTTAACTACATTCAAATGTACATGTGGTTATCCTTTCATTGAAGATAGAGTTCTCATTTGCAAAATAGGCATAATCAATACCTGTTTCCAAAGATGGTTGTAAAAATAAAATGTAGAGATTATAAAATATAAAGATTATATTAGCAAACTTTCAGCCAATGGTCTCTGCTAGCATTTTCATTCATTTAACAAATATTTTTCTTGAGTACTTGATCCAAGTCAGGGACTCTGTTGGATTTGTCTTATAAAATGGTAAAGAAGATAGATACAGTTCCTGCCTTTATGGAGTTAATAGTCTATGGCAGAGCTTACAGTCATCATCACCATCATCAATGTCATTATCAACATTAAGATATTTTTTATTATAATGACAGGTCTTAAAAGGTTATAACAGAAATAGATGAAGGAGGACCAAATGTTTCCCATCAGCAGTGTTGCACAAGAAAAGTAAACAAAAGTTAGCATATTAGTTTGATTTCACAGATAGAGAGAGGTCATGGCAAAAAGTATTTACCTGTGGCTGAAGGAGTAAATGGGAGGGGAAAAGGGGGACCAAAAAATACATATCCGGAGACGTATAAATCATTTTCACAAAGTAATAGAGACTTCTCTCTTGATAGGCAATACATTTTGAATTGGATTTTAAAAGCAATAGGGAAATAGAACATGTGAATTTTCCCTAGTTCTTACCTCAATATGTCCTTAGAGCTGACTTCACTGGAGCTGTTTGTCTAGGGGCTGGTCCTTCTGAAGGTTTCAGAAACAAGTTCTATCCTACTGTGGTTATAAGAGGACTGACTTCGCATGAATTGGCCTTCATTTCTTAGGCCCAAAGTGTCTCTCTCACATGACTGCATCAATGGCAGGCCAAAAAGAAAAAAAATAGGAAAAATTATCCCACACAATCGATTGACTCAATGTTGGACGGACAAAAAGCAATACATACTTAGATTCAACTTCTGCCTGCCCCAAAGTACACACCAGGAACCCATTGCTTGCATTGACAAATCTCTTAATTAGAAGATGGCATTTGTTCTCAATTAGAGAAACAGATTGAGATGCTCCCTTTAAAGATAAAACCATTGAAAAGTGTGCAGCAGTTTGGTGGAAAAAGAGGCAATTAGGCATATCACCTGGAGACTCCTTGCATTTGCAGCAGTGAATGCATAAACAAAACAATTACTCCACTCAAGAGATACTTCACCGTGGCTCAGAGAGAGAAGGGGATGAATCACTGCTGATGAGTATTTAAGAAATGTCCCCTGAGATTAATTCCTATATATATATATATATATATACACACACACACACACACACACACACACATACATATATACACACACACACACATCCTATATATATATATACATTCACACATACATACACACACACACACACACACAAAGATAATCACCCTCATCCACATTACCTTGGTATACTTTTCCTGAAACTCCACTGAATTTCTGGAAAATAATATGAAGATCATACTTAGAACACAATCAGAAGCAAGCACTTTTCCAAGAATTTACTGCATCAAAGAGTACTAGTTCATTCAAGTAACCCAGGTGTTTTGTGTCATTTCATTAATTCATTCAATGAGTAGCACTTATTTTGTGCACAACTCTACTAAACACACAAGTATACTTCAATATGTAAAAGAATAATTCACTGCCCTCCAGGACCTCATCTGGAAAACATTTGGCAAGATGTTCCATTAGAGGAAAAAATCAAGTCCATGTGTTACAAAATGTGTGCTGGAGAGCTAGTGTGTGTGTGTGTGTGTGTGTGTGTGTGTGTGTGTGCGCGCGCGCGCGCACGCACAAAGAAGTCTAAGTCTGAGAATCATCAGAATACGTTCTTAGTAATATGTTGAAGATGGGTCAAACATTAGACCTTGAAAAGAGTACGACTTTAAATTTGGCTGCCTTTAAAAGATACCAAAAGAGCCAATTAAAAAGCTGAAAATCCAATGACATCTTTACATCTTTTTGTCTATATGATGTAAAATGTTCAACCTAACATTTTAATTGAATTTTTTTGTTTATTCTATCACACCTTTTCGGCTGAATCCAATAGGATAATGAAATATATTTTCAGTCATAGCTAACTTATTTATATAGGGCATTCCTGTGTGTAGGCAACATGTGATAACAGGAGCTCTACAAAGATCTGTTGTCCAGGACAAATAATTTTTCAACTGTTTCTATCTGATATTATAAGAGAAAAACATTTTATTGAAAAAGAAGAAATAAGATGTAAAATTGCAGTTCAAGAAGGAAGAGAATGCAGGAATTTAAATACATCTTTATGTGCAAATGAAGCCACCCCTAGAACTTGGAGATTTGACCAATGAACCATCTCAGTGAGGTTCCCACAGTGAGTGGCTCAAGGACCCCCTTTGATTTATTAAACCTAAGAAATGTCGACAAATTGTAAGGCCCAGCCGTAAACTCTACATGATTCTCCTCTGTTTGTTAGGCATGACTCAAATATTTTAAGGTAGTTTCCACTAAACAATTTGCCAAATATGTGGTTTGTTGGAATTTAAATTTTCACTCTATTGTTTAGGTATATAAGTAGAAATATAGATGCCTGCGAGAAAAAGATAATTAAAAACCTGGATATTCAAGCACATTGCAGTTTGTGAAGGGGCAATCAACTCACCTGAGAGTTTGCTAACTTTTTTTGGATACATAATAGAATTTTAAAATAAAATATAAATGTCAGAGAAGTTTCTCAAGTATTATTATTTACCGTGATTAAGAAACAGTCGTCAAAAAATACAAGACAACAAAGAAATTTCAGTTTTATTTTGCATTTCCTTTTATTGTAGGCAACAAAGCGAATACTTTTGTGCTGAAAATACATCCTACAGATATTTACAAGATGCTTTGCTAATAAAAATAATTTCAAATCTCAGAATACCAAATTCTCTTGAAAGATACTTATTAACATCAGATTTACAATTTACTCACAAATCAAAAGTTTGACTTATTACGTTTTCCTCCTAGGGAAAACACATAACTTTAGCAAAGTTTTTTGAAGTCATGCTATGAATATATATATATATATTCCTCCCTTTGCAACTTTGATTCAGCTGGAGATGTATAAGACATTAATTTTGAATAGCACATAAACCATCTTTACATTATTTTAGGCTTTATTTTTTTCAATTGATTTGAGCTGTGGTAATCTGAACTCCAAGCATAGCAATCTGACTCTGATGCTCTAAATTTTGCACAGCTTGTCTACCCCAAAGGTGCTTGTCACAAAACCTGTTAGTAATAAAGTACAGTAGGCTCACTGCAAATCCATTCTTACAACAGGATTAATAATACAAAGGTTTCTTTCTTATGTTCTGTCAGGGATAAAATCTTTGGCCCAAACAAGAAGTCGAATAATTGCCTACCTTTTCAGTCTCATTTCCTCATTTATACTTTATGCTCCAACATTTCCTATTCCCCTTTACTTACTTGTATTCACTATGATGGTGCTTGACTTTGCTACTTTGCTTAATGCTACCTCTGTGTCTAAAAGTTCTTCCCACAAACTCAATTATTCAGCCATTAACACTTGGATATTACCTCAGCTCCTCCAGAAAACTTTTTTACTTCTTAATCATTCTCTCCACCTCTTTCCAGGCTGATTTAATTATCATTATAATTCTTCCAGTTCTCTTAGCTCAAGGTATGCATATTTCATCTCTATGATGTTTCGTCTTAAGCACATGAGGTTAAAAAGTAGTTGAAATTTAAAAAAAAAAAAAAAAAAAAAAAACCTTCAAACATACCTTCCGTAGAAGGATGCCCCAGTGAAAGCAGACATTCAACATCCCAGGAGCCACCTGATTTGTCTTTATTCATCAATCATGACTAAGATATATTTTAAAGTCTATTTTGATGAAATGACTTGCCAGAGGCATCGTTTGCTTGAATGTAAATTTTCACTCTATTGCTTCGTAATATAGACAGGAATTTTGAAATCAGCATGTACTTAACACTGTGAGATTGCTAAGGTTGAGTGCAGAAATAAAGGGTTGATACAGTAACTTTCAAAAGTAGATTGTTGGGGGATAGGAGGAGTTGAGTCATATCAGACAGCAAAACGAGTGTGTTGTTTTCTAGTGGAAGCATAATAAATGGCATTGGCATTTGGGAGAAGAATAATGGCAATAAATGGCATAGCACTTGTTTCTGCCTCTCTGGAGATCATGAAGTCCTCATGATCTCAGTCCTCTGTCTCTGCTGTGATGACATATATGAAGCAGCTAGTATAGAGAGTATGGCAAAGAAATGTTTGCTTCTTCACTCTCTTTCCTCTCTTTTCTGTGTCTTCATATATTTTAGGATATACTTTGTCTTCAATGATCTAATCACACTTCAGTGAGGCTGGTCCCACATGATAGAAAATACTAATTCACAACAGAATGAAACTGTTGACTTTGTAACCATTTAAATATTTTATTGTTTTTATTTTAAAAAAATGTTTAAAAATTATTTTAGGTACAGGGGGCTCATGGGCAGGTTTGTCCCATGGCTATATAGCATGATGCTGAGATTTGGGCTTTGAGTGAACCCTTGATCCAAATAGTGAAACATAGCACCAAAGATAGTTTCTTAATCTTTCCCCTCTCCTTCCCTTCCCCACTTTGGAGTCCCCAGTGTCTATTTTTCCCATCTTTATGTCCATGTGTACCCAATGTTTAGCTCTCACAAGTAAGAATATGTTAATTCACTATGGATAATGATATTCAGCTGCATCCATGTTGCTGCAAAAGACAAAATTGTGTTCCTTTTTGTGGCTGTATAGTATTCTATAGTGTATATATAACACATTTCCTTTATCTAATCAATGATGGGAGGACACCTAGGTTGATTCCATGTCTTTGCTATTGTGAATAGTGTTGTAAGAAACATACAAGTGCAGGTGTCTTTTTAGAAGAACAATTTATTTTCCTTTGTGAATATATCCAGTAATGGGTTTGCTGGGGTGAATGGTAGTTCTATTCATAGTTCTTTGAGAAATCTCCAAACTGCTTTCCACAGAGGCTCAACTAATTTGCAATTCCACCAACAGTGGACTGGTGATTGGTGTTCTCTATTCTCTGCAACCTTGCCAACGTCTGTAATTTTCTTGACTTTTTCATAATAGCCATTCTGACTGGTACGAGATGGTATCACATTGTGGTTTTGAGTTCAGTTTCTCTAATAATTAGTGATTCTGAGCATGTTTAAAGTATATTTGTTGGCAGATTGTACTCCTTCTTTTGAGAAGTTTCCATTCATGTCCTTTGCGCCCCCCCGCCCTTTTTTTTTGAGACGGAGTCTCACTCTATCACCAGGCTGGAGTGCAGTGCAGCGATCTCGGCTCACTGCAACCTCCGCCCCTTCCCTTCCCCTGGGTTCAAGCAATTCCCCTGCCTCAGTCTCCCAAGTAGCTGAGACTACAGGTGTGCACTACCACGCCCAGCTATTTTTTTTTTTTTTTGGTATTTTTAGTAGAAACGTGATTTCACCATGTTGACCAGGATGGTCTCGATCTCCTGACCTTGTGATCCACCCGCCTTGGTCTCCCAAAGTTGACCACTTTTGAATGGGGTTACTTATTTTTTTTCGTTGTTAATTTGTTTAAGTTCCTTGTAGATTCTGAATATTAGTCCTTTGTTGGATGTACAGTTTCAAATTTTTCTCCCATTCTGTAGGTTGTCTGTTCATTCTTTTGACCATTTCTTTTGCTATGTAGAAGCTCCTTATTTTAATTAGGTTCCAATTGTGAATTTTTGTTTTTGCTTCATTTGCCTTTGAGGACTTAGTCATAAATTCTTTGCCTAAGCCTGCGTTCAAAAGAGTATTTCCTTCGTTTTCTTCTAGGGTTTTTATAGTTTGAGGGCTTATATTTAAATCATTAATCCATCTTGAGTTAATTTTTGTATATGGTGAGAGGTACAGGTCCAGTTTTATTCTTCTGCATGTGGCTAGCTAGTTTTCTCAGCGTTAGGTGTGTGGCTCTATTTACAGGTTCTCAACCCTGTTGCATTAATTATGTGTCCATTTTTTTTATTTTTCGTTATTATTATTATTATTACTATTATTATTATTGTTGTTATTATTTGAGACGGAGTCTCGCTCTGTCGCCCAGGCTGGAGTGCAGTTGCGAAATCTCCGCTCACTGCAAGCTCCGCCTCCCAGGTTCATGCCATTCTCCCGCCTCAGCCTCCCGAGTAGCGGGGACTACAGGTGCCCGCCACCACTCTCGGCTAATTTTTGTTTTTGTATTTTTAGTAGAGACTGGGTTTCACCATTTTAGCCAGGATGGTCTTGATCTCCTGACCTTGGAGTCTTGCTCTGTCCCCCAGGCTGGAGTGCAGTGGCACAATCTCAGCTCACTGCAAGCTCTACCTCCCAGGTTCATGCCATTCTCTTGCCTCAGCCTCCAGAGTAGCTGGGACTACAGTCACTACAGG